CTAGACGTAGCCATTGAGTACTGCCTTGGCTTCCCCTTCTCAGATGCCGCCAATGTTCCCTCTATTTTTTCCATCTGTGTGCAGAATAAATTGTATTATGTGCACCAAGGCATGTGCAGATGTGCACCACCAATAGAAACACATGCTGCAGGCTGTGGATGGCGATGGGAGCTCTGCTAATCAGCTGGGCCCCCCCAAGTGCTCAGTTTACAGGGAATACTGGATGCCTCCCATAGCACAATTCCTCCCCAAGAAGCTGCTGCCAGTCCTGATTACAGCTGGGTGAAATTTCCGTGCAAAATAGTTTTTCACTGACGAACATGGACTGAAACATGAATCGGGATCAATTACTGGGGGGAGGGTGGGAAGGGGGAAATTCAGTAATGTCAAAACCAGTTCATTTCAGCATTTCCAAAGAGAACCGTTTTGGCTTGTTGTTTGGGGAAAAAAAATATATTTTTTTTGGAGGGGAAGTTCCTGCTATTTCATTTTTTTCAAATCAGTTTTTGTGCATCTCAAAAGCAAAACAAAATGTTTCAACTGTTACCAAATAAAAAAAATTGGGGGTGGGGGGGAGAGGAGGGCCTACACCCAAACTCCATATTCTATATTCAGATATCATCCCTTACGCTGAGACTCACAGGAAGGGATTGGGGGAGGATAGGGCTAATAGATTGTGCATCATCTCTCACAGCTGGTGCTAATCTCACTCCTGGGCAGGCTAGAGTGACTCTTTCTGCCTGAGGCTACATTAACTTTAGAGCAGAGGAGGCTCCCTCCATGTTCAGGTGTAGGGCTGAAGAATGAAATCACCCTTTTATTAAATTATATTTACCACTGTGACCTTATGTAACCTCATAAATTGCAGCCCAATGTTTATGAATGGGATTTGGATTAATTTATTAGTAACCTCTTAAGATTTGCCATTGGAGAATCTGTTACTGGAACTTTTTTTGGGGGGGGAGAGGAGGGAGACATTTTTTATATATTGTAACTGAAGCTCCATCTTACCCATATTGTAACTGAAACCCATTTTTAACTTTGTACTGCCTTATCCCTGTCTATGTAAAAGTGTGGATGTGGGTGGGTGTGTAAAGGGAGCAGCTCTGCAGAAGAACCCACCCAAGAGAGACAAAAGCCCTATCAAGAAAAGATCAAAGTCCCATATCACATCAGCTGGTGACTCATTAATGCCCACAAAACAGATATCAGACAAGATCACAAAGAAAAACCAGTTTCTTGCCATTTCAACCAGAAAGGACACTCTCTCAATGACTTAATCATCTGCATTCTGCTACAAAGACCTTTTACATCTGCACTTGAAAGGGAATCCTCTGAACTGTCATTCATGTTAAAATTCGACACTCTCCGGGAAGGAATGAACAAATACGAAAACTATCTTACCCCTTACCAAGATAGCTTCCCCAGTTATCACCTCAAATACCATTAGCTCACAGACGTCCCACTCTCCCCACCTCTAATATCATCAATTCACAGACACTTAACTTCCTTCCTCCACCCCCCCTGCATCCCCCTCCTGTTCTGAAATGTGATTTGTTCTTTTCATATGTGTTCATTTTTTTTAATTGTATCCTTTGGTATATATGGTTGTGACTATTTTCTTCCACTATTTGATCTGAGGAAGTGGGTCTGGCCCACGAAAGCTCATCATCTAATAAACCATCTTGTTAGTCTTTAAAGTGCTACATTGTCCTGCATTTTGCTTCAGCTACCCCAGACTAACACGGCTACATCTCTATCACTATGCTCCTATTAAAGGTTTCCATGTCGAAAAGTTATTAGCAGCGAGTATAATTCTTGTTTTGACACATGAAAATGACTTGATTTTTCTAAAAAAGGTGATACTCTTTATATTATTCATTGCTTACTAAATCATAGTTGTTTGTTCTCATTGAGATTGGAACATCCCTAAAAAGAGATTCTGGGCACAGCTAGTAGCAGGGACAAGCCCAGCATCCCATCCCCACGCTCCAAAGGAGCTAAGCACTCCAGGAGTGGAAATAGAGGTGTTATGAAGGCATTGGATCTCCATATGGAAAGTCTTCTTGTGCCCCTTTCAGCTTAATTCACATAATTCATTTTGAAGGGTTTAGGATTCTTATTTAAACATTTGTAATAATCTCATAAAACCCCACCTGTCATCCCATGTGTGCTCCAGATTATCAGAACCCTGGGAACCATAGCAGTCAGACATTATCCAGCAAAAAGGCACTGAATTCTGGGGAATTGAAATGCACTAGAAAGAAACCTACAGTAAGGTAAAATACTGCTAGGGAAGCATTGCTGTAATTGTACCCTGGAGAAAAAAAGAAGCATGGTATTGCTTCCTCAGCAGAATTTCACCTGACTGCACTGAAATCTGATAAATTCTCCACCTTCCCACAGTGGGAATAGCAAAGGATTTAATGAGAAACATATTTGAACTGGACCTATAACTGTGAGATTACATGTTTGCTAATCTCTCTGTGGGATATATGGAAAGATCCCTTATTCTGTGTCCTAGTGTGTGTGTGTGTGTGGGGGGGGGGTCTAGTTTAGTGGAATAAACCACATTAACTAGTGCACTAAAAGTAAAATTTCGGCCGACACCTTCTGATATTCCGGTAGAACAGTGTATGTGTCTCACAAAATAGCAAAGCAAACATTGTGATGATAGTGGGTCTGATCTTACCACTCTTGCTCATGGGAGTAGTCCCATTGATTTGGGGCTTCTTCAGAGCTAAGTCTGACTCCTATTAAAACCACTGGAAAGATTTCCCTTGGTGATGAGTCATGCCTAAGTTCCTGTGGGCTGCAGGTCATGCAGAGCCTTTATATTTCAGAGGACTGCACACGTGAGTAACATAATTCATGTGCTTTGTTTGCAGGTTATAGCCTAACATGAGTTCTTTAGTGCAGGGATAAAAGTTGTCCTTTATGCTATAAATAGGTTACCTCTGTAAATGCAATCCAACTGTAAGCAACAATTCAAAGGGCTGATGAAGGGAAGGAATAAAAATAGTCAAAACAGTCCATTTGCATTTGGTTTCAAATCTATGTTTTGTTTTCTTCCACAAGTGTAAGTCAGTGTGTGGGTCTGGCTGAAAATCGTAATAAACAAAAGAGCTGCCAGTTTGATAGCGCGAAACAGCATGGCTTCTCTTAGAATGTGAGCTCCCCGGAGCAGGAACTGTCTTTGTGTTCTTCCTTTTCTCTATAGTCATAGAAATCATAATCCTCTCTATCAGATTGCTCACATGGGTAAAGTTATGCACCCAAATGTTTGCAGGATTAGAGAGCTAGCTGGTAAAATCAGTGGGTTTTTTTGTGGCCAGCAGTGAAAGAA